CACAGGAAGCACCCGCATCCAAAATCAACTACCAAACTCAATGTTCAAGTGTATATGACATGAAATAAGTTACCTTAATCTGTTTCAGGTTTATTTATTGTCAAAAAGAAACAATAAAAACACTGTGTGGATAGATTTCTTTCAGTTTCTCTACAGGTGATCAGTGTTGAAGAGAATGAATTGTCCATAATATTGTATCTGCAGAAACAAAACAATGACTGTCCTCTAAATGACATTTATGCACAGTAAAGAATTGAATACTGAGCAATGTGCTTAATCATTCTTTTCATTTTTTTGTTTGAATAAGATACACTTTTATTTTACATGAGACAAATCATGCCTAAAGAGTGTACATAAAAGAAATCTCTCAAGGAGTCAGTTTGATGATAAACAATCTAATAACATAGGTAACATGGAACAGAAGATAAGAGAGAAAGAATCAGAGGCTTTGAGAAGAGAAAGAGTGAGTGTAAATGAAAAACAGAATGAAACAGAGGAGGAAAAGAAAAGAATTAGAGAAATAAAGAAATAGAGTAGATATGAATGAAAAGGTAGAATGAAAGAGAAAAGAAAAAAATGATCAAGAAGCCAAACAAAGAGAAAAAAAAGCAATCAACTAGAATTATAAGCAATCTTCTACTATGTGCCATGTCTCTTCAGGATGTTTGCAATCATGGTATTCCACCATTTTCCTTCCTTTGTAGCTCTTAATAAATTTTATCTTTTTGTTATCTCTCCCAAACTTTGCTCTGCCATCCATATACTCAATCTTGCTAGGTAGTTTATGTGTTGTTTTCCTATGTCCCTCTTGCTCTCAATCTGTTCTGTGTGTATCAAATTTTCCAAACCCTCTTTCCTCATTATGTGCCTTAGAAATTTCAACTGTCTGTTCCTGATATAAAGTATATGTTTCTTTTTTGTTTGTATTTTCTTTAGAACATTGTTATTGCCCACATGTTCAGTCCATGGTATTCTCAGCATCCTTCTGTAGAACTACAAGATTGATTATTAAATATCTTCTAGTATAAAGTGAATTCAGAGTTTTATTGAAAGCATAGCTGAAATAAGACATTAAATAAAATATATTTCTGCAGTTGTTATCTTTACTATTCACTAAGAAAGGAATGCCACTTAATAAAACCCCATTTGTGGCATTACTGGATATCATTAGTATATTTCCTTCTGGTTTCTCAGCTGATCCTGTATGGAGACCATTAAATAACTACCAGTTTGGTATATAGATTCAGAACAGACAAGAAATCATGAGTAGATATGTGAAATCTATTAATAAATTGAATACCCATACTTTTCATGCATGAGCAAAATGTATGACCTTTCAATGCATCACTAATAAGACAAGATTTTAATTGGTTTAGTAAAACATATTTCTGATATTCTATTAAAGATTTCCAAACACTACATTATAATTGGGCTACATTCAGTCATTCTAATCTAATATTTCTATGAACAAAGCCATTGTAAACAAAGTTTCACACATTTGGAAATGGGTCCAGGGAAATGAAAGCAAATTTTTCTTTGCTTCTCCCTGACTGCAAACCAAAGTAAGAAATATTGAATACAGGCCTTGAACAGAAGAATCCTACATTTGCCTCTTCTCCAATATTAGGAGCGGGCAGAAATGGACAGATCTCAATACCTCACATAAAGAATACTGACTTGAAGTGACCACTTTACAAAGAGATGACATTTACCTGCTCATGTCTGATGAATTCTGACACCTGTCAGTTGATTTCAGTATGCCAATAATATCTTAACAAATGCACCTGCCGTCATTTACAGGCCCCACCTGCTGTTCCTAAGATAACATTTGAAATTTATGTTTATGTAGGACTGCTTTGATTGATTTGTATGTTAAGGTACTCCAGACAGCATTTTGGATTTTCAGTTAGCTGGATGGAGCCATATTTATGCTGCTTGAATGGTCATTGCATTAAGGGTCTATTTGAGATTGATTTTGCTGAAAAACAAATCATACATTAATGAGATTTATTTTTGACCAGGCCAGTTTGATAGAATCTGGTATTATTTTTAATTCAGATCAAATGAAAGTGTTTAAAAGTGATAAAAGTTTAATTTATTATGCATAATTTCTTCTTATGTGGAAACCAAGAAAGTCTTTTTATACCAGCCAAACTTACAGAGATGAAAACATTGTTTGTCATGAAGTTATATGATTTATTTTAAAGTGATCAGTATGTACTGATCCAAAGTAAAAAGCTCATTAAAATAAAGAAACAGCATATAATCTATTTTTTTATTCAGTTACCTGACTTACTTTAAACTCTAATCATTACTTTTTGATCATGAAGGGGAGGATGATCTAGGCCTGGTTTGAAATTCCAACAACTATCACTTGAAGAAGGCCAGAGGGTACAATGGATAAAACGTGAATATAACAATAAAGATGAGGACAACAGCCCGAACAATGTAAATAGTGTAAATAGTTCAATATCACATCTCAGAAATATAGAGAGAAATTCATATTTGATTGTTAATTATAAACAGAAATTAGAATCTGAATGACTTTTACATGTATCATATTAAAAAAATCTGAATTTCATTTAAAATTAGATTTAATTGTAAAAGAATTAACATTTTAAATAAAATGAAAATAGTTTTTACCATATTAATATTTTACAATGATTTATGTTACCATATTACAAACTCTGCAATGATTTTCAAAATCCTAAAATTTAAGGATAATAATTTTCTAATTCAAAAATAGTTTTAAATTTGCAGAGTTTGTTGAATTATTAGGTGGGGCTGAGACAAAAATGGATATTCCATCCTAAATAATGGACTGATGAAGACAATTGTAAGCATATTAATTTTACAATTCAATTGAGAGAAATTTATATATTTATCATAATAAATTATATAAATAGAAGAAAAACTGAAAAGAAAAGCTAAATGAAAAAACAAAAACAATGTTGTTCATGACCTTGAAAGACATTTTATGCAAATTAAAATTATTTTACATAAAAACAAACTTGGAAGCCATTTTCAAAAAGCTTCCCTTCTTTTCACAAAATTTCTCATTTTTTGTACCTCTAAATTATATTCTATTCTTTTTCTCCCCAAGTCTAAGATGAGAACAGAACCCCTACTATTTTGTCATTGGTTATTGAATTTGCAATATGTTAATTAAAAGTTATCAAGTGTATAGACCTAATCTGTGTATGGTTTCAGCCCCATGACCAGTTTGGGAAATTGGGTTTTTCGCATTCTCAGAATGCATTATATTGTCTACCAGACCATGTGTTTCCTTTCGATAAATAATTACTTGGTTGTTTCCAATTGGAATGATCAGTTCAGCTACCCATGATATTGCTGATTGACACTGATTACTTCTATGGATTTTATTACTGTTGCTTTATTGGATGATAATTCTTTTTCTCAGTCTCACTCTTCATCATCAGCTTGGATGAACTATTAATAAATGTTAGCTTTAAATTAATTTTCTCTTACCATTATTGGGGCTAAAATTTATTCATTGGAAATTATCAGCATATTTTGAGGGTGGGAGGAATAGAAGAAGAAAATTTCTCCCTGCCCTCACTAATTCAATATTAAAAACATATCCCCAAAATTTTCTTTTGTCTGATTTATTAATGTCTATATTTCATTTTTGAAAATAAATTTATAAAGAAAAAAAAAATCTTTTTCTTTACACAAACAAATATTAATTTTTCCATATAGACTTTTTGTTAATTTGTAATTAACTCAATTTAACTTAAATAGTTTGGAAACTTTACTGTTAAAGACTAAGAAACAGATTACGTATATTTGAGTTAATACAAAATAACTTTTAAGCATTTGCCTTGTAGAATAAACTACTGACCAAGCATGTTTTTCTTGGTAAATCAGAGTATTACTTTTTGTTTGCTTACTCAATTTGACTTAAACAGCTGTGCTATGTCAGTAAATGTCTGATAAGATTACAAGACTAAATTTATTTATGGAAAATAATTGTTTATTCAATGTGTGGACTCAGTAAAATTGACTTTGGCTATGGAGGGCATGTAGTTTTCAGTAACTTTCTTTGAACATTCAGTTTTATTCTTATGAGGATATGAAACTTTCTGTTTTCCCCCTTATGAGTTGAGCATTGTTCCTGTCATTCAGTTGTCTTGTGTGTTTATAGCCCAAGTTAAGCTAGGTTGACTTTCTGTTCATCTTGGCAAACCAACCAAACATCCTTCGAGACCCGATTTTGCATTTGGTGGTGATGTGATCACCTAGATTAATCCTCAGATGCAACTAGCTCTTTTGATGTACCGGTGTGATACCAATTACAAAGCTTACTTTGGTATTTTTCAAACCAGTACATACTGAGGTCACCACAGCTCAATTCCTCTTAGATTAAAGGATCTTGTTAGACATTAAATTTGATTCAGAACTCTGGTATTTGTTGACATGAATCACATACTACAGCAGCAACAAAGATAGTATTATACAGTGACTCTGGAATAGTGATAATTATTTAGTCATAAATACTGTCGAAACTTGAATCTGTACAAACCCAATGGATAACATTTCTGCTGCTTATGACCTGTAAATTTTTTTCAAAGTCAGAAATTGTAAAAGATCCTAGTAATTAATTTTTTTTTTTATGTTTGGAAATCTTTAAAGAGATGTAGTTTTGTCAGTAAATTGTAAATTAGAATTACATGTTTATCTCACCAATAAACCTACTGTTTTAGATAGGCATAGATCTTAACTGATCTCTGTTAAAATTAAGAAAAATAAAATTTGTAATTAGATAAATTAAACTGATTTTGCTATAAGGAGGAATTTTAGGTCACAGATGACTAGATATTGCTCATGTAAACTTATTCTAATTTCAGTATCTGACATTTCTCAGAAATAGTTTCTTTTATTCAAAGATGACAAATTTAGTGCATGTTATCTCAGGCAGATATTCATTCTGGTCTTCTTCAGTATGAATATAATAGCAGAAAAATGTGCAGATGACTCACCTCATGGAGCAGAAATGTGAAGCATCGGGAGCATCTGCAGCAGGCATCTTCTCAAGACCCAGTTCTGCACTTGCATAAGAATCACTGTCCACACTTACAGTACTTGAAGTGCGACTGCTGCTACTGCTGACCAGCTTTCGAGTGTTGTTCTGCCGAAGTACGGTCAGGGATCCAGTTCCTAAAGAAAAAAAACATAGAAAAAAGATTTCAATTAGAAGATTTCAAAATTAAATGAATTTGTGCAAAATACACTTCTAATTTATCAGTGTCTGGTGACCAAAAAAAAGACAAATGAATTTTATGGATATTTCAAAATTTATTTCACATCATCAGCAGAACAGTATGTATTTTATTTTGCTGGTATATTTAAGACAAGAGAAAAGATGGTGAAAATGAAATTGGATTTTGAAAATCTTACCAGATATACAGGTTATATAAAATTTTTATAGGGAGATTTGTAAATACAATTGTATATTTGTAAAAGCTGGCTACTAAAAATCTACGTATTTCATATTTGCTTATTAGTAGACAAATTTCGTTCTTTCTGTGCTTGAATTTTGCAGAGAAATTTGTCTTAAATAGAAATAACAAGAAACAATGGACCAAATAATATATTCCTTTGTTATGTATAAATCTGGAAAGAAATTTTGAACATTGTGAATTTGGTGTCTTGAATAAGAATTCACTTTACTTCCTTATATCTCAGAAGTTAATGAGAGTAAATCAGAAATTAAAGGCAATTTTGAAATTAACCAGTAAAAACAACAAGGAGGCAATGACACATGTATGCATGGGACGACAGTTAGCTAGCCACACATAGCATTCTGTCATTCAGTTGAGTGGCAGGGAACAACGAGATCAGACATATGGACACTTCACTAAGCGATTGCACCATTGAGGAACAACACACCAAAGTGTGATTTCTATGGTCAGAAGGAGTCAGACCTGCAGAAATCCATCATTGGATGTTGGCGCAGTATGGAGCATGCAGCATGGATTAATGAAAAGTGTATGAGTGGGTAAAACACTTTACAGCTGGAAGAACAAGTATGATGGCTGAAAGCCAATCTGGTTGCCCATCAGCATCATGTATGGAAGTACACATCCTGAGGGTGAATTCCTTGATCAAGAAAAACTGATGAATCACATTAGCACAAGTAGCAGCAATTTTGGACATCAGCTATGGATCTGCAGAAGCCATAGTGCATGATGACTTGGGTTATTGTAAACTTTGCATGCATTGGGTGCCCAAACAAGCAAGTAGTGGCTTCATGAGCAACTGAAAAGTTTCCTTTCAGAAGAGATGAAGAAACTTGTTGAACAATACCAACACTGCATCACTATGCAGAGGAACTATATTAAAAAGTGACACATGCATTTGTTCTTCATAAAGGTGTATAATAAAGGTGTATGGAAATTACCTCTATGTTTTTGATTTACCCTTGTAAAATTGACTCCTAGGATATAGGGAAGTAGTTTTACGTGTTCAAATGAGTCAGCTGACAATATAAACTAATTGTTGTTTTTTACAATATACTGGGGGTAAGCAAATAACACATATGATATGAGATGAAAATGAATAATTTTTTAATAATTTAACAATTTTACTTTACTAAAATTTTTTACTAAACATGGTTCCATTGAATTCTTCTTTGCTAACAAGCAAAATGACTAGTAATTTCAGTATAAAAATCTGGCTTGTACCAAATCAGCAGCATCTGCTACTGACTGATGGATGTTATGCATACTGATTTATTTAATCTGCCCTCAAATTTACTTTATATTTCATCTCAAAGTGTTATACTATATTGTGAAAAGGGATTACTGCAAACTGGATTTTCTGCATCATAGGTACAGATTTTCAAAGGCAAATGTCTGCTTACAAGTTTCAAGTGTTCATTACAATAGGTATAAATTCACTTATCCCACCCGCTTCACAAAGTGCTGTATGATATAGTTCAAATAAATATGTTAAACTCAATAAGATATTTTAAATTCTGTATATAATAAATTTAATTAGGTAAGCAATGTGTACCTTGCTTTTTGATGCCAATATATTTATATATACATAAATGCTGACAATGTGAATGTCCTTTCTGACAGACTTGCAGAGTACTTATGTCTGTTTTGTGATAAAATTTGCTGGTCTGATGCCAGGGTGAAGTGGCACATAAGAATGCAAGATGAGAAAATCACTTTTAAGACTTCCCAAAAGGCTTTAGTGTTCCATATATGTAAAAATGTATGCAGGAGCAAGGTTGGTTTGCAGAGTCATCTGTGAGCCTACGGCTATTCAGTTTAATGTTGAAGTGATGACACCTTCTGTAAAGAAGTGGTGGTTATCATTATATATATATATATATATATATATATATATATATATATAATGGCTGGCTACTTGTATCTGAGTATGCCTATATAGTGGGGTGGCTAGTCCGTCCCTGTTGTAGATGCCTGCTTTGACACACTTGTGTTTGTTCAATACCCACAGAAACTAATTTTGGTTTATATTGCAACTATGCTAAGTAGACCTTAGTTATAGTCTGGTGTGATTAACAGTTTGAACTAGGTTAATTCACTCGAATGTTCAGTCATGACTTTTGACTAACACAACTACTGATGGACGATTCCATCTACCCAGTTTCACTCACAAGGCTTGGGTCAAATTGTGGTATGATTTTCAGGCACTTTCTAATGGTGCTGCGCACAGAGCTCACTTCCTCAGGCTGATAACATCAAGAAATTAGCTTCTAACAAATCAATCATGTTGAAAATCAAACCCAAGTAAAAAAAGTGAATGTTTTAACCACTTCATCATGCACCTATTTTATATATATATATATATATATATATATATATATATATATATATATATATATATATATATATATATATATATATATATATATATGTATGAGAAATATATAAGACAATTTTGAAAACTTATTTTGATGTGTTTAATTACAATTATTGTAAATTACATTTTTGTCTTGCTAGTGTAGATTTAATTGAAATAAAATTTGTTTTTTCTGATGATCCTGTTTGATTAGTGAAACATGTCAAAATAAAAGTTCTCTAAATTGTGTGATATATTTAGCATTCTATTAGATTATCATCCAAATTTACATATATATATATATATATATATATATATATATATATATATATATATATATATATATATATATATAGAAAGAGAGATAGATAGATAGATAGATAGATAGATAGATAGATATCTTATTGCTATACACATTAAATATTCTAAGTAAAGATTTTTTTTTAACTAAATGAAGATTTTTCCTTCATATTCTTAAATGTTTGTTTGTATATCTTCTGTTAGAAATTATTTGTTCATAATTTTGTATTGCTCAATTCAGCGTATGTTTAAGATAAATATATAAGCCATTCCACCCCACTCATAATTTATTCAAAGCCAATTCAGAAATTGTCAAAACTAACTCCTGTTCTTTGGAGTCTGAGACTTCAGTATAAAGTCTTGAATTGACAAAGAACTTTTATATAAAAAGATTTATGAATAAAAAAAGATTTATGAATAAATATTAAGACAACAAACTTTGTCAGTAAAAGATGTAGAAAAAAATTAATACAAGAAAAAAAATTACTTTGCTATTCATTTTCAATCCATGTGTGTACATATATATATATATATATATATATATATATATATGTGTGTGTGTGTGTGCACACACACCCTGTCAGCTTTTTGTTTTATATGCAAGTCAATGTTTTCCAAAAAGAAAGTGACATTACCAACGGATGTTAAGAAAACTTTCTATTTTTTAGTATAAATATTTACAATAAATTTTTTGATGGTGTGAGCTTTTATTAAATCAAAATCATTCATCACATTGTAAAAAAAAAAAAGAGAAACATGATATAGTAATAGTATTAAATCAATGGAATTGTTGCAAATTTGAATAGATAATTTTTAGAAAAATTAAATATTGACAAGATAAGAAAAGGAAAATACCAAAGAAACATTAAAAGTAATAAGCAAGAAAAATAGACTGACCAGTAAGAAAATATTTTAAAAAGATGGTGTTATGAATATAAACAGAAAAGAACCTGCAGGATATTAACAACATTGGCTGAAGACAGGAAAGCAACTAAACTACCAACTTTAAATAAATATCATATGTAAGTTGAGTGAAGAAGTATACAGATTTATCAGCAATAATTTTTAATGATGAATGTAGAGCTATATTGGATGAACCTGGTGAGTTTAACCCCTTAATGGAAATAGTCAACAATAGAGAGGAGGAATTATATTTTGGGCTAGTATTGTAGGTACCAAATTAAAACTCTCTTTAAAATTTCTGATGACTCAAAATAAATGCAACAAATTATTTTAAGTTCTTGAATGATACATTTTAATAGTACTTGCCACAATCGACAATCTTTAAGCTAGGGCACTTCAGCATGGGGTAATAGTGAGTTAGTATGGTTAAACATTGCTACTAAATAAGGAGTTTGATCCTCACTGAGTGCCTCATATTTATGGCCTTGTACCAAATTAAGCTTAATAAATAATAAGCTTTAAGCATATTCATTTAAGTATATTCATGCACGACAATGATCCTTCATATCCCATAATATTGCTCAACAGAGAAACAAAATTAACAGAATGGTCTCCAGCCTTTCAAGATATTAATCTAATGGAAAACTTGTGGTCTATCATCAAACAAGATGTATATGAGAATGGAAAACACTATTCAAACAAAGAAGATCTCTGGGAAACAATAAAATCTGTTGCAAGTCAAAACAGTAGAAAAATTCATAAAATCAATGACGAAAAGACTGGTGAAGGTTATAGAATATCAAGGAGGCTAAATTAAGATGTAAAATAATAATCTATTCAGTTATATGAGATACTGTGCCAAATAAATTTCTTTTAGACATGATCTTTTGCATTTATTTATAAATACAAATTTATGTTTTCCTTTATATTCATTTAGTTCATAGAAGCTGACACACAAAAGTTATTATTAATACTTTTAATATAATAATATAAACTGAAACTCACATGATTATATATATATATATATATATATACACACACACACACATATATATATATATATATATAAATATATATATAAAGCTATTAATAATTTAAAAAATAATTAATTTATATTTTTATTAACTATTTTATTTTCA